TCTTCAGCGGGTTGTGCTTGCTGGGTGAATGAGTCATCTCGAGGGTCGTCGGGTTGACTGTTGCCATCATGAAGATCCGAGTTGGCTTCATCTGGACTGGTCTTTACTACCTGGTTATGTATAGAGAGGGTCTCCTTGGGGACAGGCAGGTGTTGTTGCTTAACTGAAGTGTTGTAACATGATCGAGCACTAAGTTGATCTCCCATGATGTATCCATTGCCGAAAGGGGTTGGAAACTTCATCAACAACATATGTGTGGATACCATGGCCTTGAGATCATTGATGCCTGTGCGCCCAAAGATGACATTGTATGCCGTTGGGCAATTGACCACTAGGAAGTTAGTGGTAATAGTAGCTGTGTAGGGGCCTGTACCAATGGTGAAGAGTAAGTGTATACTCCCTAAAGGTTGCACGATATCGCCAGAGAAGCTTATCAGAGGAGAAATCGAGCTATCGAGCAAGTGTTCAGCTACATTAAGTGCCTTGAAAGCTTCAGCAAATATGATATTAACTGAAGCACCTGTGTCTATCAGGATTCGTTTCACATCAAAATTTGCTATGTGAGCCTCCACGATCAGCGGGTCGTTGTGAGGGTAGATGATACATCTTTCTTCCTCAGGGTAGAAACATATTGGATCCCAGTTAGGCTTTTGATACTTGCCTCCCCTGATGTCTTCCACGTGAAACACTTGATGGCCAGGTCTCAAAGTTCGTTCACTGTTTTTCATGGCCCTGTTGGAAGATTCAGACATAGGTGTGCCGCCGCTTATAGAATATATCACATTCACCTGGTGTTGGTTACGGTTATCCCTTGGAGGGTGAAGGAGGAACTGATCAATTTTTCCTTCACGTGCCAAAGCTTCAATATGATCACGGAGGATGACGCACTCCTCGCCATCATGGCCATTATACTCGTGGTAACAGCAAAACATGCCCGTGTTTTTCGTGGACTTGTAATCTGGCTGTCTTGGTTTTGGCTTTGGTATCAGATGAGCTATACTGGGGTATATGGTCGCGCATGTAGCGTTCAAAGGTGTGTATGTCTCATACCTCGGGGTAGGGCCTGTCTTGACACGTGATTGACCCATTGCATTGACTGCATGGGGACGGGCGTTATTGTGACGATATCCTGAGTTATCGCGATAGTGCCCCTTATTCTTTTTATTAAAATGAGATTGGTGAGGATGGAAATCTTTCCTTTTGCCCTGGGATTGATATGTCTGCTGACTTGGCGAAGCATTAAATGAGGCAGGGGGGTGTGCTGCTACCGTTTGGAAGGTTGAGGTCTTCTCATTCGGTTGGATCTGGCCTCCACTCCCTACTTGCTGATAAGGGGTGACTGTAGGGGGTTTCCCTTGATATGTCCTTGCCTCGGCGGAGGCATGGTTGTAAGCTTGTGCCATCACCTCAGAGTAAGTCTTCCAAGTGTTGGCATTGATCATGTACTTGAAGAAACAGTCACGTAAGCCTGTCGTGAAGGCCTTGAGGGCGGTCTTGTCATCTGCTTCAGCGCAACGAGAATACTCATGGCTGAAGCGGCCAACATACTTTCGTAATGACTCGTCCGGCTTCTGGCGAATAGTGTACAAGTCATCTGCGGAATGCAAACGATCGGTCTGGAAGATGTGTTGAGAGACAAACAACTTCCTCAACTCTTCAAATGAGTCTACCGTCTCAGGTGGAAGACGGCAATACCAGTTTAAAGCTCCGCCAGAGAGGGTGGAGGGGAAGAGAAGGCACCGTTCTTCATCGGTGTGTCTCCGGTATACCATGGTGGACTCAAAGAGGTTAAGGTGTTCAATCGGGTCTTCCCTTCCAGTATAGAGTTGTAAGTCAAGCTTCTGCTTTGTCTTCGCTTGGAGGGGGGTGTTGAGGATCCTTTTTGTGAGGGGGCTAGGCCTGGGTTGGTTCTAGTCAGGTATCTCGGCTTGACGTTCAGCCTTCAACTTGTTTACGTCCTCCAGGAGCTGTAGGACGAGGGGGTCCTGAGTGGAGTCGTGCATCACTGAAGTTTTCTTCCGTAAGTCCCCATCGCCTCTTGGAAGTAGGAAAGTTTGATCAAGATAACATGATTTTTCCTTGGACTCGTCACACTGACTCCTAGAGTGAGTATGTCGGAACATTTCCGAGTCCCCTGTACCTTCATGTTCTTCTGGGACTTGTTGCCCATTCCTTAGATTAACTGCTGGCCTGGGTCGTGGGAGAGGACCGAGTCTTTCAGAAACTCTTGGGTCATTGATCTTCGAGCTTATGTGGATGGGATTCTCCCGATGTTGCTTTAGAAAGTCTCGACAATCGCGATAGACGGCTTTTGATCCTTCCACTCCTTCTGTGAGGAGGTGCTTTCCTCTACTCCTTATGCTTCGGGTTGAAGCAGCTGGGTTGAGAGAGGTCTCATGTGGATTATCACATTGATGTGTAGCTCGATCCCTATCAGGGATGTCCGTGTTGGATATCAGTGACCCTCCGTGTTGGGGGGCATTAAGATGATTGTTGACCTCAGCATGGGCGACGAGCTTGTGTGCTTGAGCATGCCTAGCCTCGTGAAGCATCTCGAAAAGTTTTTCATACTGCTCTTAGAGGACCTCGTTCCTTATCACTATCTTGTTGTTCTGAGCTTCTAACTCATCTACTTTAGCTTGAAGAGTAACTCTATTTCCTTCCTGCTTTCGTTGCTTCATACTAGGTCCAATAGGGGTGTCATTCTGTGTGCTATGGCTTCTTTCGCTCCCCATGTTGGAGAGAGATGTTTGGCCAAAAGAAAGTGTACGAGTGGTGGAAACCAGCTTGACAAAGCTGAAGAGAGTGGGAATAAGTGTCGATTTCCCACAGACGACGCCAAATGTTGATGCACAAAATCAGCGAGGACTTTGGTACAATAGAAAGTGTCAGGTTTGTGACCTTCGCTTGGTTGCTTCGATCACTAGTGAAGATAAGTACGTAAATGAATAAGGACAGGGAAGCAAACACAAGATGTACGTGGTTCACCCAGATCGGCTACGTCCACGGAGTAGAGGAGTTCTCATTAATTGTGAAGGGTTTACACAAATACATAGGTTCAAGCTCTCATTTTGTGAGTTCTAGTGAATAGTTTAGTACAAAATGACATTAGAGATTATTGTGGGAGAATGATCCCTATTTATAGAGGAGAGTTTCTAGTTTTGTTCTAACATTGACATGTGTCGTGTTATGATTGGCTTCTGATGTTGACACGTGTCGAGCTGTGATTGGCTTCTGATGTCGACACGTGTCGCATTGTGATTGGCCTCCTGGTTGAAGGGAAGCTCTTCTGGGTCCTTGATGGTATAACGTTGACCGGTGCTCAGTAGTTTCGGGATTGGTCAAGTATGGTACAAACAGAATGCAAAATGAAAATTTTGAAGTGACAATAACAATCCCCTAAAAAAAACGACAATGTAATTTAGAAAAAACTTTCTTCTGCCAGTGAAGTGATCATATAGTTAATGAACATAAAAATATTTTTTTTTTGGCTGAAAAAGAGAGAGATGATGGTAAATTTGAAAAGCTCCTTGTAGCTTATCATCAACTAAACATAATGGAAAATAGGAAGATAAGCTGACGAAATTTTAAGGAGAATTAATGAAAATGTTTTGAAAACTTTGAGTTTTAACGATAAAGACAAAATAAAGGGTAAAGTGAATAGTACCAAGATTGACTTTTCAGTATAAAAATATGGTTTTTTGTTAAAATAAACAATACCAGAAGTTTTTCGTTAAAGTTCCTAAATTTTTATTGATAACATGTTATAAAACTACAGAGTAAACCGTAGAAAGAAATGAGAAGTACAGACAGACATTGAAATTTGATCTCAAAGCTTATCTTATTCATTTATACAAGCTCCTTTTATAAGTTTACAACCATAATGATATGAACCTGAACATATAAACACATATCTTTTCCAAAAAAATAAAAACAGAAATCAACAAATCAAACAAGGGAAATTTTATTTGGTCTCAACTTTTTTATCTCTACACTCAACTAATATTTTTACTTCTCTGATCTTCCAAATTTGTCCTTAAATAATAAACGTTGAAGTTTTCTTTGTATCTCTCCACCCAGGGGCGGATCTAATAAGGGACTAAGGTGGTCCAAGGACCACCCAGAAGCTTAGATAAATGGTTGTGAGGACCTTGAAGGACCACCCAAATCTGGGCAGTGGTGGAGAAGAACAACATCCATGGCTGTTGTGCGCTATGCAAAACAGGAGGAGGAAGAAGAAAGCAATTTTTTTTTTAAATTGACTTGGCCAAAACGACATCGTTTTGAGCCAAGTCATTAAAAATATTTTAAAAACTCACGTAATGCTCACTCACACTACCAATTTATACATTTAATAAAAGTCAAATCTTTTAAAATATAATAAAAGCCCATTCATTAGTCAGATTGCTTTCTTATTCACACTACCAATTTTTATATACCTAATTGTCCGCCTCTCACGCTTCCCAAGCCAGCCAAAAGCCATCACCCATCAGCAAACCTACTATTCGGCTATTCCTCACACTTCCCAAGTCAGCCGAAGGCCATCACCCATCAGCATCAACTTTAAAATTTCTGAAGTTTTCTAATTTAGTGTTAGTTCTTACTTTTTAGTGTTAGTTGATACAGATTTTTTAGGGTTTTTAGTTTTAGTTTTTATTTTTTATTTTTTTCAAAACATCACTAATAAAAACAAAGGGGCCAAATAGACTACAGTTGATGCTTAGAGTTTTTCATATCTATTTTAGGATTTTTTTCTTAGGATTGTTGAACAACATCAACCTTATTTATTGTTAATTTCTTAGTATTTTTTCATATCTATTTTAATGTTAGTTCATACACATTTATTGTTGATTCGTTAGAATTCTGATATTACTTGGATTGTGTTATAGGGTTTTTTTTTTGTTGAAGATTGTGTTACAGTGTTAGTTCATATATATTTTTTAGTTTCATCAATTGATATAGAATTTTTTTATTAATTGATATGTGTAGAAATTTGAAGTATGGAACGATATTACAAGCGAAAATCATCATTGATTAGTTCGGACAATCATATTCCAAATAGTTCACCTTCAAACTTGGATAGTTCTAATCCTATTCCGAATAGTTCCCCAACTTCTGCTCCAATTCCAAATAGTTCTGATCCAATTAGGGGTAATTCCACTCCACAACAAAATGAGTTAATAGTTGATTTGGATAATCTTGAGAGAGACCCCGGAAAGAGAATTCCAATGAAGGACTATCCTCCAAATATTCGAGATGAGGTCCGAAGAGCATATATATTAATGGAGCCTTTTAGAGCTAAAGATCATGATTTTCCATTCACTTTGCATTCGAATAAGAAGCGACGATTCGTTGGTAATTGGTTGAAAGAATTTCATTGGTTGGAATATAGTAAATCTAAAGATGCTGCATTTTGCTTTTATTGCTATCTATTCAAAGTCAATTCTGAACAATCAGGCAGTGACGTCTTTACTGAGGTAGGCTTTCAAAATTGGAAGCATGCAAGAGCATGTTTTGAAAAACATGTAGGAATGGTTGGTAGTTTTCACAATAAAGCTATTGAAGCTGCTGGTAATCTAATGAATCAAAAGACACATATTGAAACAGTTGTGGTCAAACAGTCAGAAGAAGCTCGTATGGCTTATCGCACTTGCTTGAATGCGTCAATTGATTGCACTAAGTTTTTGTTACGACAAGGTCTTTCATTTCGTGGTCATGATGAAAGTGACACTTCAAACAACAGAGGTAACTATTTGGAGCTCTTGCAATTCCTTGCGGACCATGATGAAAAAATAAAGGACGTTGTGTTAGATAAAGCTTCAGGAAATCTCAAGCTAATAGCTTCTACAATCCAAAAAGATCTTGTTCATTCATGTTCTATTGAAACCATTAAAAGTATCATAAGTGATATGAAGAATGCTAGGTTCTTTTCTTTATTGGTTGATGAGGCACGTGATGTTTCTATAAAGGAGCAAATGGCTGTGGTTTTGCGTTATGTCGACAAAAATAGGAAAGTTATTGAAAGGTTTGTAGGAGTTCAACATGTTCCTGACACCACTTCAAACACACTAAAAGAGTCTATTGATGCGTTCATTAATTTCAATGAGTTGAGCTTCTCCAATTTACGAGGGCAAGGTTACGATGGTGCTAGTACTATGAAAGGTGAGTTCAATGGACTCAAGACAAAGATTTTGAATGAACAACCTTGTGCATTCTATGTTCATTGTTTTGCTCATCAACTCCAATTAGCTCTTGTTGCCGTAGCAAAGGATAATGTTGATGTTAATACATTTTTCCTATTGGCTAATAATGTGGTAAATAATATTGGAGCTTCATGTAAGCGTCGTGATGCACTTAGAGAGATGCAACAAAAAGAACTTATGAAAGCTCTTGAAAATGATTCTCTTATGACGGGACGAGGCTTAAATCAAGAAACTAGTCTCAAACGTGCCGGAGCTACAAGATGGAATTCACATTATGGTACTTTGATTAGTTTGATTTCTATGTACTCGTCCGTGGTTAATGTGCTTGAAATGATTGTTGATGATAATACCAATGATAGTGTGGCCGAAGCAAATAGGTTATTAAGAGACGTACAATCTTTTGAGTTTGTGTTTCTCCTATTTTTGATGAAATCTATATTGGGAATCACAAATGATTTATCACAAGCATTACAAAAGAATGATCAAGAGATTGTGAATGCAATGGCTTTAGTCAACACATGTAAAGAACAACTACTCTACATGAGGAATGATGAGGGGTTTGATCTTTTGGTTGACAAAGTATCGTCATTTTGTGTCCAACATCATATTGAGATTATTAACATGGATGAGGCATATGTAGCTCAAGGGAGGTCGCGCCGTAATACCCACAAAAGACCAACCGTCATCGTTACAAAGTTGAGCTTTTTTTTGTTGTCATTGATTCCTAACTTATAGAGTTAAATGATCGCTTCAATGAGACAAGTACCGAATTGCTCATATGTTTGGCTAGTTTAAGTCCAAATGATTCTTTTATAGCTTTTGACAAAGAAAAGCTACTTCGCCTTGCTCAATTGTACCCTCAAGATTTTACTAAGCAAGACCTGTCGGCACTTGAAGATCAACTCGATATTTATATTCACTCTATGCGTTCGAGAAGTGACTTTTCTCAATTGCAAAGCATTAGTGATCTTGCTAAGAAAATGGTGGAAAAAGGGTTGCATCGAGTATTTCAATATGTGTATTTACTTATTGAATTAGCTTTGGTTTTACCGGTTGCAACTGCTTCAGTGGAGAGATCATTTTCTGCCATGAATATCATTAAGAGTCCACTTCACAACAGAATGGGGGATCAATGGTTAAATGATAGCTTAGTTGTTTACATTGAGAAAGATGTTTTTTCTTGTATTGACAATGAGACTATCATGACACGTTTTCAAAGCATGAAATCCCGTCGTGGACAAATTTAGTATTTCTAGCTTGTTTAACATAAAGATTATGAATGAAAAGTTGTAGTTTGCCATTTATTTGTTCACCGCTATTTTCGTCTATTTTTTTTGGAGCTTTTATATTGGGACCACCCTATGTTAAAATCCTGGATCCGCCACTGTCTACACCCAAACCCTACGACCACCACTGCAGGCCTTCATTATTTCCAACGAACCCAACTCAAGCGCCAGCAACACTAAAATCGATAAATCAAGACTGGAGAACAAATGGTATAGAGTCCTAATGTGAATCTTAAAGCAAACTTAAGTTGCAAAACCCTTTTTTATTTCAATTGACGTAAGGATCTTGGGTTATGAACATAAGGGAACCTATTAGGGTTTAGAGGTCCCATCCGCATCATATGCATAAGCCCCTTTTCTTCACATATTGATTTACGGAAAGGAAATTAACACTATTATTTTCATGAAAATGGGAACGCCAAGGAAAGAGATCATCTCCGCTTCATACCGGATTTTTTTTTCTTTTCTCAGTAGTTAGATCCAAAAAGAGAGGAAAAACAAGAGCACCAGTGGTCACAGTGCCTGGACTGGGTTCACTAGAGAAATGAAGGTGCAGTGGTGATGTGAGTTAGGGTTATTGGATGTAAAGATAAAAACTTTAATATTTATTTTCTCATTCTTATTTATTTAAGGGTGAATTTGAAAGTTTAGTAGAAAATATTTGTTAGTTGGGTGTAGATATAAAAAGGTTGGGTCCAAACAAAATTTCTCATCAAACAAATATAGTACCTAGTGTTTGGTCTAGTGTAAGTCTATTATTGGTTTCGGCGCCAAACCGTTGGAATCCAGATCCTCTTTGTGAGGATTCCAGGAATCCATGAATCGTGTTCGTTTATGGTACATCGTGCGGTCATATATTATTTTAAATATTTTTATTTAAAATTAAACACAAACAGTATCTGACAAATACTAACTGCTTGATGTGCGATGAAAGAAAACGATTTACGGATATTCAGGATTCTCACCAACAAGATCCAGAGAGGATCCTCACCAACAGAATCTGGAGGGGATCCTGTTGGAAACCGTTGGCCCACAAACTCAGAAAATGGATTCCTAAGGTGGGACACGGGAGAGAGAAAAGAAGCGAAGAGACAATACGGTGGGCCTAGCCTATTATGAACCGAATTGGGTTGTGAAATAGATATGCAATGTGGCTGGGCCCATTAGAGTTAACCACCACGTGCAACATGATTATGAGATTATGAGATTGATATATTATAGAGTAAATTATAACAATAGTCCCTTAATTTTTAATTAAATTGGAGTAATGATCCCTTAATGCATCAAAATGTGTAGCTATGGTCATTTTCGTCAACTTCATTAGAATTTTGTCAAAATAAGTTATGTTGGAAGGACCCTTACTAGAATTGGGGTCCCTCAACTCATCAAAACGTGTAGCTATGGTCTTTTTCATCAAATTCGTCATAATTTTGTCAAAATGAGTTATGTTGGAAAGACCATTGCTACAATTAAGTTAAAGTTGAGAGACAATTTCTCCAATTGGATCAAAATTGAGGGACTAATGTTAATAAATTTTTAGTTGAAGGGTCATAGCTACACGTTTTGATAAGTTGAAGGACCAATAGTAATCGATTTTTAGTTGAAGAACTATTGTTCTAATTGAGTTAAAATTAAAGACCATTGTGTGGGTGGGTTGGTTCTAACGGGTTTCTAGTTTTTCAAACCGTGCGTTAACCTTTTATTGTGTGGGTGGATGGGTTATAAGGCCATCTCCAACCGATGGCTGGCCAGAGGGCTCGTTTTAGCCCTCTGGCCCTCCAAGATTCTCCAAGATATTAATATTTTAATGAACAGTATAGGGCCATATTTGCCTCCGTCTCTAACCAAGGGCCAGAGGGCTAGAGGGCTCATTTTAGCCCTGTCACAAAAAACCGTCTCCAACCAAGGGCCAAAGGGCCATAGGGCCAAACATAATTTATTATTTAAAAACTACAACTTAAATTCAAATCCAACGGCTAAGTGACGTCAGCTAGCCGTTGGATTTGAATTTTTTTTTTTGCTATAAATAGGGTGGATATTAGGATATAATTCACACAACTTTGAATTCAATCTATTTCAATTCAAGTTTGCAATGAATTCCAACTTTGGATCCTCTTCAAATTTCAAAGTTCAAGTAAGGCGCAACAAACAAAACATAGTAGCAGCCATGGCTACGGCTATGGTGTGTCAACCAACTGAGGAACAACCTCAATGGGGTGGCTCTATTGCTAGTCGCTCTTACAAACCACGAAACAGAGCGATTACGTATGCCAATCTGATGAACAACTACTTCGGCCCCAACTCGGTGTACACAGAAGAGGATTTCAGACATTGTTTCCAGATGAGACGTCATGTATTCGAGCGTTTACTTTGTGATGTCCAGCAGGTCAATCTGTACTTTCGACAGAAGAGGGACAGATTAGGCCGCCCTAGTTTCTCACCTCATCAGAAGGTTACTGTTGTACTCCAAATGATAGCCTATGGCTCCCCAACTGATTCGATGGATGAAACCTGTTTATACTATACTTTGGGCCTCTGTATTTAGATCTCATATAAATACTCGGGGGATTCAAATGTAATTATGTAATAAATGAAGGGGTAAATATGTAAAAAGGGGATGAGCCCTTAGTCTATAAAAGGGCCTCCTCACCCTCACAACCCTCAAGCTCTCTGACCCTCACAATCCCCTCACTTTCATCAGAGAGCTCTCTCAAACTCTCTCTTTCTCTGGGGGACTCCCCTCACACTTGTAATCCATACATTTATACAGAGAAGAGAAATACAATCAACATCAGTGTGGACGTAGCCCAAACATTGGGGTGAACCACGATACATCTTGTGTTCTTTACTTTCTTGCAAATTCACGGTCGGATTTATGTTGTTCTAAGACCCCTCCGGTTTTGTGCATCAACATTTGGCGCCGTCTGTGGGAACAACACGAAAAACTATGTCGGTCATCTCTCAATTTTTCATCTCACCACCATGAATCTGGAAAAACCACAAGAATCACCAATTAAGCATCCATCTGTCTCCTCATACGCAGGCTCATCAATTGTTCTTCTTATTCTAATTAACTTACAATCAACTCCGCAGCCGCAGCTGCAGTCGCGTACGCATTTAAAAGTGCAGATCATGGTGTTGCTATCTAATATCATCATAATATTCCAGCAACGGCTCCTAGTGATGTTACTGAACCTTCAAAGCTCATCAGACAAAGCAGACTGCATTCAATACTTAACAGGATGAACAAGCTTACCAACAAGGTTGACAGTTTTGCCCATGGAGTAAAAAAACATGAGAAGTTGAGTCACATAATAATTAACTTAATTATTATTTGATTCAACTGTGCAGTGAGACTAGGGCCCAAGATCACAGAGACAGTGAAGGGGAAGCTGAGGCTGGGGGCTAAGATTGTAAAAACAGGAGGGACGTTAGAGCTGTTTAAGTACACATTCAACGTTAATGTAGGAGAGAAGTTGCTCAAGGCATCCCAGTGATATTTGTCGACCACGGCGGGTCCTATGGCATGCCTCATCTTCATCTCGACCGACAAGATTACGTTTTCCAGCGAGAGATAGATCAAACTTCCATCGTCAGATTCAGACATACAACAGTTGGTTAGTAGAGTCCACTACAAGGTGGTGATCCCAGTGAAGAAGATCAAGGCGGTCAACCAGAGTGAGAATAGGAAGAAGCTGTCGTAAAAGTACGTAGAAATAGTTACTGCGGATAATTTTAACTTCTAGTTTATAGGGATCTTGAATTACCAGAAGCATGCACTGAACCTCCATCGCCATGGTCAGATCCGCCACTACATATTCGTTGCTCTTCATAAATCGAGCTCAGTCGTGCAAGTCAGATGTGAAACCTCCTGATCTTGGTGTCGACACACTCATAGAAGCCTTGAGATCGAAGACGACGGTGGTTAGGCGTGAAAGAAAGGACCCACAACAGCTTAAGAGAGCGGCGACGGCGGCCTACGACTACAAGAACGATCCCAGGTAGGCCGACTACTGGTCCAACATCCTCATCCCTTCTCACATGTCCTCTCGCAGCGACGTCGTCGACCGTTTCAATCGCAAGTTCTACCAACGCTTTATCGATCCTGAACTTATGGTAGATGTGATGTCATCTAGCAGTTCTGCCCAGCCAAACAATACCACCTCATTTACCACCACCAATCTTCTTCCTCAACTCAGCCTGATCACCACCAAACTTTTTATCATGATTATCCAAACCCTAATCCTGATCCTGAGGACGGCACATTCACTGTAGCTCTTAACATTGGGCCACCGGGTAGTGGAAGCGGTAGGCTAAGCTCATCGTTCATCAGCAACCCTAACCACAACCACATTGGCGGTCTTGTGGAAAGGCGGTACTGGATTCCCTCCCCTGCACAAATCTTCGTAGGCCCTACCTAGTTCTCTTGCCCTGTTTGCAGCAAAACATTCAGCATATACAACAACATGCAGTGGTCTGCTGTGGTTGGAATGGGGATAGGGACAAGGTCCTAGCAACAACCAGGCCGAGAGAGAAAGACGCAGTGGAAAGAATAAAGAAAAAGAAAAATGAGGAGGAAGGAGATCAGGGTAAAGGAACAAAATCGAAAAAGAAAAACATCATGATGTTACTAAAGAAAAGAAAAAGAAAAAGCTGATGAAGTTCTGGGTCACAGTATTAAAATAAAAATGAAAAGCATCAAAGTGACGGGATAGCAGTTATCCACCATCCACTGAAAAAAAAACACCCACATGCAAAAGTAGGGAATAAAGGGAGGCTTTCCTCCGCGAGAGCACATGAGGGACACTGCAAAAGCAACTGCCAGCTGCACATGCTATCCCACTATCCAACCATCTGTCATTCCCACCTTCTGCAGCAGCTTTTTTGAACGATGTGATTTATTTTTTTTATCTTTCGGAGACATCTGTATAACCCTATAAGAGGATAATAATAAAAAAAAGGGCAAGCCCAAAATAATGGGTTGGAATGTTATGTGGAGGGCAAAGGCCCATATGCCCAAAAGAGCCAGGCCCGCTATTATCACCAACCAGGTGATCAAAAGTACACCCAGTACTACAAAAAATTATTCGGCAGCCTGCCGCTATTATCACCAACCAGGTGATCAAAAGTACGTCCAATACTCCAAAATTATTCGGCAGCCTACCGCTATTATCACCAACCAGGTGATCAAAAGTACGTCCAGTACTCCAAAATTATTCGGCAGCCTGCTGCTATTATCACTAACCAGGTGATCAAAAGTACGCCCAGTACTACAAAAAATTATTCGGCAGTCTGCCGCTATTATCACCAACTAGATGATCAAAAGTACGTCCAGTACTCCAAAAATTATACATGAGCATCACTCATGATAATCATACATAAACATTCATGAGCATTACTCATGTCAATCATACATAAACATTCATGACCATCATTCATGTCAACATTCATGAGCATCACTCATGTCAACATTCATGAGCATCACTCATGTCAATCAACATAAACATTCATGAGCATCACTCATGTTAATCAGCTTCGAAAGCTTTATTACAGACCTCCAGCTTCGAGAGCTCCAGCTTAAAAAACTTCATTTACAAAAGCTCCAACTTCAAAAGCTTCACTTTAAAAGCTTAACCTACAAAGCTTCAGTGCATGGTATACAAAATACCATCTTCGAACAACCGTCACTTCGGCCCATACATGGATTCAATTTGAAGTTTCCAACCAATAGACTCTATTGACTAAAGACTTGGGGGACTACACTATGTACCATATATTGGGCCTCATAAAAAATACTTGGGGGACTTAGCCTATTATTTATGTACTGAGGAGTGTACCCTTATTCTATAAAAGAGACTCCATCACTTTCATTAGATTCATGTACTGAGGAGCGAGCCCTTATTCTATAAAAGAGACTCCCTCACCATCATTAGAGAGCATCGCCGCCTGCTGAGCAACCGCCTCGCCGCGAACATCAACTCTAGCCCAGCATTTATGTATTGAGGAGTGAGCCCTTATTCTATAAAAGGGACTCCCTCACTTTCAACGCCACAGGCCGAGCCAACCAAGGCAACATAAGCCACAAGCAAAGCAGCCTCGCAACATGTGCTACTTCTAGTTGAGCATCATTTCAGATTGGGCACCGCCTCATATCGAGTATCAATTCTAGACGACATCTAGTTACTTCGGCCCACACATGGACTGAATTTCAAGTCTCCAGCCAAAAGACTCTCTTCACTGAAGACTTGGGGGACTACTGTTTATACCATACTTTGGGCCTCCGTATTTAGATCTCGTATAAATACTCGGAGGACTCAAATGTAATTATGTAATAAATGAATGGGCAAATATGTAAAATGGGATGGAGCCCCTAGTCTATAAAAGGGCCTCATCACTGTCACAACATTCAAGCTTTCTGACCCTCACAATCCCCTCACTTTCATTAGAGAGCTTTCTCAAACTCTTTCTTTCTTTGGGGGACTCCCCTCACACTTGTAATCTATACATTCATACAGAGAAGAGAAGTACAATCAACATCAGTGTGGACATAGCCCAAATATTAGGGCGAACCACGATACATCTTGTGTTCTTTACTTTCTTGTAGATTCATGGTCGGATTTATGTTGTTCCAAGACCCCTCCGGTTTTGTGCATCAACAAAACCCATGGTATGTCTGAGTCTACATGCCTTGATACTCTTGAAGAATTTTGTGACACAATTGTTCAGCTTTACAAAGACGAGTACCTCCGCGAGCCAAATCAAGAAGATCTGAATCGGCTCATTCGCAAAGCTGAAGACCGTGGGTTTTCGAGCATGATAGGGTCATTAGACTGCATGCATTGGGATTGGAAGAACTGTCCCACCGGATGGCAGGAAGGCTTTAGCCGAAGGTCGAGAAAGCCAACTGTTGTGTTAGAGGCGGTTGTCTCATATGACACATGGATCTAGCATGCTTTCTTTGGAGTCCCTGGATCCTAAAATGACATTACAATTTTTGGGCGTTCACCCCTCTTCAATAACTTGACGGAAGGTAAAGCACCTCAACTTGACTACTACATCAATGACCGTCAATACAATATGGGGTAAAGCACCTCAACTTGACTACTTGGCAGATGACATCTACCCAAAGTGGGCTACACTTGTCCAAGCAATTCCAAACCCTAGGAACGACGCGGAAAAATTGTTTACCTTACACCAAGAGGCATATTGCAAATATGTTGAGAGAGCTTTTGGTATTCTACAAGCATGGTGGAAGATCATCAGCAAACTGGCATGAGGATGGAGTCGAGAAAATTTGGACTCCATCATGATGTCTTGCATCATATTACACAATATGATAGTGGAGGATGAGCGAGATGGGTATATTGATGGAGAGTCCGATGACGACCAAGAAGATCCAAATAGGTCAAGAAGGGCTCGTGCAAAAATATATGATGAGCCTAATTTGCCTTTCAATCCAAGAACTGGTAGTATCTCTATAGATGAGTACATGAGGCGCTATAGAATGATACGTTCTCGTGCCACAAACAAGTACCTACAACAAGATCTTGTTGCACATCTTTGGGCCCAACGAAGCATGAAGTAGACATTTACGTTTTATGTTTTTAAATGTTTTTTAAAATGTTGTTTAAGTTTCATTGTGTATAATTTTTATGTTGTTTAATGTTATTTAATGTTGTTTCATATTGTTTAATGTTGTTTCATGTTACTTAATTTAATTTAATGTTGTATAATGGCTTAGGAAGTTATAGGAAAAAATAGTATTTAAAAAAAAAATATGAAACAAATTTTGTGAAATAGAAGTTATAAGAAAAAAATGGAATTTAAAAAAAATATGAAACAAATTTTGTGAAATAGAAGTTATAGGAAAAAAATGGAATTTAAGAAAACATATGAAATAAATTTTCTGAAATAGAAGTTATAGGAAAAAAAATGGAATATGAAACAAATTTTGTGAAATAGAAGTTATAGGAAAAAAATGGAATTTAAAAAAAATATGAAACAAATTTTGTGAAATAGAAGTTATAGGAAAAAAAATGGAATTTAAAAAAAATATGAACCAAATTTTGTAAAATATAAGTTATAGAAAAAAAAGTTATAGGAAGTTATAGAAAAAAAAAAGGTTTAAATTCATAAAAAAAAAAAAAATTGAATACAACGGCTAGTGACTGGCTAGCTGTTGGAATTCAAATTAGAATTCAAATTAGTGTCGGTTTTAGCTGACACTGTTCAAACTGATATTACACTAACATTGCTATTAGTGTGGGTTATAACCGACACTAATAATATAGTATATATTATTTCTGTCGGCTATAACTGACAGAAATAACAAAGCATTAAAAAAAAAAAAGCAGCCCTCTAGCCCTCCAACCCTCTAGCCCTCTCCGATCCCGTGGGGCCCTCCCAGATTCTAGAGCACTCTAGCCTAGCCCTCTGTTGGAGATAATTTTCGGACTATTTTCGATCCTCTGGACCCTTCGGTTGGAGATGGCCTAAC